TGCTGGTACGAGCAGACACTATGTGACTAGAAAGATCCTGTGGGCAGATACGCCTCAGACCCAAAGGAGAGAATTCGCCGTCAGCCAGTTGTACCCTCGAATTCTGTACACTTTCTCTGATGTTGTAGTCTTTGTTCTGCGAAACCCAAGATCGTTTGAATCAATGGTTCTTGATAAACTAATACGTTGGGGTGCGGCCTCTAGTATGTACATTTTCTTTTTCCTATTCCTATTTACTTTAGCTTTTACATTTTGTCCATTTCTCCAAGCGTTCTATGCCCGTCGAAAAGTCTCATATTTACATTTTATATCACTTTGACGACTATACACAGTCGCTTACTTTCGATATTTCAGTTGATAAATCACTCAACCAACCCGTACTTCCTCATGCAATAATTGTATTCAATGCTACGGATATCAATGTCGATGAAAGGGAATGGGATATTGCGACGGCTACGAAATTGCTTATGACGGATATCCACGATGCCGTCATACGGGAGCCGGCCTTGCAGGAACATGGTGAGCACCTAATATCCCGTCACTGCGTCTACCGGAAACAAAGCTGACCAATTCACAGTATGTTTGAGTATCTCTCAGTCTTGCACCCATCACTTTCTTTTTCTTTTGCCAATTGTCGAAGAGGAGATGAGTGAATTTTACATGGTACTGATATTCAATAGGTGCAAACATGGCGAAGGCGCGGAAAGCTGATAAGGAGCACCAAGGAGCTTCTGGAGTGCTATTATGGTTCCATAAATGTCATCAGGATCCCATATAAGGGGTCGTATAGTAAGATATTTTATCTCGGTCTATTCTCTCCATCCCTTACCTCCAAAGCCCACCCCTTAGGCTACCTCCTAGGCGGAGATTTCGATATCCTGGGCCTTATCCCTTACATAACAATTAGTCGACCGTCGCTAACATAAAGGGGTTCAGTGTTGATAGACGAACAAGTTAGCAAGCTTTCTAGCTTGCTGAAAGACCGTTGCAAGGCTTCGTACCTGAGGAAAAGAGAAGTGCGCATGCTAGCTAATACTGAGAAGCTTCAGTTCTACCTTCAAGCAGCATACGATCATTTTACTAGAGATCTCAATATGCCGTTTGATTTTGTGAAGGAGACTCTTCGGCATAGCCCTGTCTCCAGAAACTTTGAGGGTAACATATTGAACTTAGCATTAGCGATCAAACAGAAATCTAGTAATTTGATTCTTAGCTGCGACACTGAACAGATCTTTCGGGCGATGGGACCAATGATAGCATCATGCGTGATGCTGGACGCTGTTCGTCAGAATCTACCAGGTGAACTTAGATCTGCCTTGGCCGGTTCGATACGATGTGACTAATTACTATCCAGGTACCGCAAGCCGTCTCCTAGATGATCGTTATGCCAAGCCTTGCGCTGGTGCATTACAGACATTTGCCGACATGTACTGCCCGTGCAGCTTCACGAACCCGTCTTTTAGCGGAGATCTTGGTCGATGTTATAATGTTAGGTCAGGTCATAATCCCAAAGGGCATCAGAACAAACAAGGAAAAATCATTGGCGACGGCGACTATGAATCTAGCTTTGATGTTGATGCGTTCCGGCCAGTCTGGGAAAACCTCCTAAAAGCAAGTCTGGCCCAAGTTCAAGCCTCTAGCTTCAAGCTTGGGCAGGAGTTCCCAGATAAGAGCGAGCTTCAGATTGCTGCTCTTATCCACCAGGAACGCTTGAACGAGCTTTACTCCAACGTACTAGGTGTGGCGACAGACTTTATCAGCTATTCTTCCTGCCTCTGCTGCTTGAGAGAATTACCAGAGTGCGCACTACCATGTGGTCATGTTCTTTGCCTCCCTTGTGCCGAAACATATGGGACCAGAACATCCAGGACCACTATTGAGATCAGCCGATGCCCTCTACATGTACGGGATGTTATTGCCAATCCACCTTGGGTTATCGTGACGAAACCGCGTTATGCCGGCAGCCGGGTGCTTTGTCTTGATGGGTACGCGATCCGTATCATGGCAAGGTGCGATGAGATATGCTAACTAAATGACTGTAGAGGTGGCGTGCGGGGCATCATACTGTTACAAGTACTCGCCGAGATAGAAAAAGTCTTGGGTCCAGACTTACCTATTCAATTGTTCTTCGACTTGATTGTTGGTACTAAGTAAGTTGACAGAGTATTATTTAATTAGGGATTTTGCTAATCGGGTTCAGCTCTGGTGGTATCATCGCAATTGGATTAGGAGTTAAGAAATGGACCGTCGAATCGACAATACGGAAATTCAAGGATCTATGCAAGGAGGCTTTCGTACCTCGAGAGATGACTAGCATGCCCCTTTTCGGTACACTATCAAGTATTTACCATGGTAGTCTATACAAGACGCAACCTTTTACGAAGGCACTGAAAAAACACCTCTCTGATCAAGCTTTCTTTGGTACCGCAACCCATAGATCTCTTGTCACAACTTCAACCAAAGTTGCTGTCACTGCTTCGACAGGCCTCGAGCGACAAGCTGTTGTCTTTGCTAACTACAATCGGCCAGATCTACCAGAAAAGAGTGAGTGTTCCCTGACATATCCCTGGGAGATTCTCTAATAAAAATACTAGGACTTCCGTATAGGTTTATTAGATCAAATACGTCATCAAAGGAAATGCGCATATGGGAAGCGTAAGCCCCCCATTCCCTACAACTAATGACTTAACAGTGAACATCAAACTAACCAAACCCTCGAGATAGCGCTCGCGCGACATCTGCAACGCCACCTTTCTTTAAACCGTTTCTCAAACCCGAAACCAGTCAGGAATATGCCAATAACGATCTCCGTTACTCCTGCCCAGTGTTGGTTGCCCATTATGAGGCCAAGTCAATATGGGGCGACGTAGCAGACCGCCCACCAGACCTAATGCTTTCTATCGGCGCGGGTCGTAATGTAGGCGATCGTAATACGGATGACCCGAATACGTTTCAATCATCACGGTCTATGACTAATGAGACTGTGACGACTGCGGGTTATAGTACGAGCGCCGTCATTAGACAAGGCCGGGGAGGGGCTGGAAACTATAAGCGCAAAAGCTCAGCAACGATGCTGCCTTCCGATGACACAAATCTGGAGAATTCAGCAAGCGGATACGTCGTCCGTGATCCCAAGACGCCAATGCTACTTTCTTTCAACAATCCCGTCCCAAACCAGACAGATAGGCTAAACAATCAGCGACAATGTGACAGGACTTGGAATCGGTTCATGTCTAGCAGTATGATGAAGGAAGAATCAACTCGACAGCGCTACATGCGCATCTGTCCCGAACTCTTGACTAAGTTACCAAAATTCGACGAATTAGAGAAGATGAGTTCCGTGGAGCAAGAGACCGCTGAGGTGTTACGGCAAAACCACCAAGATATCGTCGAAGCCGCACATAGACTAGTCGCGAGTACGTTTTTCTTCGAGAAGGACGCTGGTAGTGTAAAACAGACTGCATCTGGATATAGTTGCACAGGTAAGCCCTCCTGCCTCCACTACATTTACGAATCCCTCTTCATGACGGAGTTTTTCAAGTAACCACTTTACTTTAGGTTCTATATTTTGTAGATTTAGGCTTTCCTCGCAAGAGCTGAAGGCTCTGGGGTGGTTTCTTGTATCTCGGTTGGACGGCGACTTTGAGCCATACTTCCTTCTTGAGATACTAGATGAAGGCGCATCTTGGCCCCCGCGGCAGATTGTTCTCACGAACTCTGTACTACAGGATATGCACTTACAGGGTGGTTTCCAACTTAACCCTATCCGAATAAGTACCATAACAGAGGATGCACAGGTCAACATATCCCTTTGCTTGCAGACTCGTCCTTATCATAGTGGTGTAGTAGTCTTACCCATCAGTGGCTTCCCACGAAAGCTCATGAGTGAAGATGGCAGCGGGCTCATGTATCGGGCGAGTAAGTATTTAACCAACTAGCTGAGGAATATGAAGATAAGAAGTGGGACTATCAATAACTAATACGCGACTTTACGTAGGCGTGTCATCACTCGGGACGTTTTTCTCCGCCATAGAAAAACGATCATCGATTACGACGGACATATCTTCAACCCCCCGAGCATCTCTGAACGAATCGATTCCGAGTCCTGCTCCTAGCATTAGCTCGTTCAGGAAGCTATCCATAGATAGAGATTCAGATTTTCGAGCCGAGCTGGAGGGTTAACCTGATGAGATGTCATGAGAAGAGAATGAAAATACTAATCATGCCATGATTTCACATCCAGGTCCCCTACACATGTGTATTATGAATTGGGCATCCACGAAAGATATTGTACAAATTTAGGGGAGTTTTTAGCACCTTTCTTATAACAACTATTAATGTTATAAAATAAACCACATCGCATAAGCTTTTTACTAAGCACTCTATCAAATGAAGATCCTTGGCAAAGACCCTCTAGTCGTGGTCATGTTGTTGTAACGGGCGAATCAAATGCGATGGGAAATAATTCTCCCTAAAACATGTAAGCCCAGCCCACCATGACCCCCGTCCGATTTGGAATCATAGTAACGGGACGATCTCTTCCTCTCGGATACCGTTCTATCTTGAGTGCTCTCCGAGATGGCGGGGTTCAAGTCACATCTAGAATGGATGAACAAAGTGAATTTATCCTAATTGGGAAAATGGTATTTTCATCCAGCATATTTCATCTCACTAAGATAAGCACTTGTGCAAGGGACCAGACTTCTATGAACACTAAATCTGACTAAGTACATGTCCACGTATCCGTGTCTCGATTAGCTAATTCCCTATATTCGAAGAGCAATACGCGCATGGAAGCATATCGACTGGCTTAGTTATTAGGTCTAGGTGCTCCTTTCTGGATTTGATATTGTCATTTCAAAGAAATGCACTCCAGAAAGAAACCACATCGTGGCGGAGTTACGATAATCTAGGGGCGAAGCCTCTTGCGAGGTGACGTACGGGTCTTTGGCATCGAATACTCGCTCAAGTCGAATGGACCACGTTCAGGATGGATTGAGCAAGGACAACTTCAGCTCTTCATCGAATATACGTCAGCAACATGTGGATATTCATCTCACCTAGCAGGCCTAGTTTCTACCCATGGTCGATCAATCCTTGTATCAAGATTATTGATGTTCACCTATTGAGTTCTTCTATCAAAATATTAGGGTTGGTCACTCAAGGATGGATACATATATAGATAGGTCCGTTGGCAACTTTCGGATCTCAGTACTCCTTATCTTCATCTTCATCCTTTCGTCTCTGGCCGGTACTTGTCCATAGCAACCAATATGCTCTCATACGTTGTGTCCGCCTTCATTCTCGCAGCAACAGCTTCCGCCGCGCCACAGTATCCGCAACTAGGATGTAGAGAGCTCTCAATACCCATCACCGTCAGTGTTCCGCGTTTCATTGTTAACGCAACAGTCAACGACAACTGGGATGCAATTGCTTTGACACTGGCCTTTACAAGGCGGGACTTTAGCGAGAGCACAGATCCATTACCGATTTCCGGTCAGACATCTGGGCCTGTAGAAAGCAAGTTCAATGTTGGGGCAACACTATGTGGGAGAGGAGGTCCTACTTTAGTTCTAACTCATGGTATTCTGGAATCTAAGCTGTATGTTTCATTTCGTTCCAACTTGGAATTGTGGGATGATACGCATTAGTGTTAACACTATCATAGGTACTGGCAGCCAACATTTCAGGCGTCGGATAAATACAACTTCGTTAAGGCTGCCGTTGCTGCTGGATATTCTGTTCTCAATTACGACCGTATCGGTGTAGGGTCATCCTCTAAGTAAGCATGGTCTATATCATTATGAGTAGAGGTCACGGTTTCACTAACTTATCTTCTTTGGAGTCAGGGTGGATGCACTCTCGGATGCCCAATTCCAAGTAGAAGCGGCTGTACTTGACTCACTGGTAGACTACGCGCGATATGCTACGAATGCCACGAGAGTGGCACTTATAGGTCACAGCTACGGGGCGTATCTGACAGTTGCATCCGCGGCTAGCAAAAAGACCGCTGTTGACGCCATCGTCCTTACCGGTTTCGCGGGTGGCTTCCAGTATTTTGGCCCCTTTCTCGCTGGGTCTGGCTTCAGAGTCGCACGAATCCAAGACCCCATTCGCTGGGACGCTTTGGACTCAGGATATCTCACATCAGCAGACCTATTTTCTGAGACGTATTCGTACTTCGGAGAGCAAAATGATTTCGAGCGGCGGGTCGCCGAGTGGTCTTACTTGAAGGGTAGTGAGCCATTTGCCGTAGGCGAGTTACCATCCCTTATTGCGAGCAGTCCCCTAGACTTTGCAGCGGTCACGGCTCCTGTCCTCGCTATCCAAGGCCAATTCGATCTATCAGGCTGTGGTGGTAACTGCGTCGGCCTCCTAGATGGCCTCAAGGACGACTTTGCTGGCGCTAAGGTCGTGAAGACCGTTGATAATCTACCCGCGGGGTAAGTTATACAGCTTTCAAGAGTTGAATAGGTATCCATGCTAACTCTGGTTCACAGGCATAACCTCAACCTACATAAGGTCGCCCCACAAGCGTTCGAGACGATTTTCAGCTTCTTGAAAAGTCAAGGAGTGTAATATTGATCTATTCATCCCGAATCAGCGTCTTGATTGCAGGAATATCTGTAACTGTTAATTTTCGGCCTTCACTTTCTTTATAGGTAATTCTAGAATCAAGGATCTCTAGCGCGAGGGGTTCGAACTATTGCCTTTTGGAAATTACTGTTAAGATTTATATTATATTTAGACGGCATACAAGACCGGCGAGATAGACTTATAGGGGATGGTTCGATGGACCATTTAGCGTAATGAAATATTGGTAGTGTTCGAATAAAAACGATATTAATCAGGAAATACTATCACAACTCCATTAGGAATCTTTTTAAGAGATATAGGTACACACTGCAAGTAATAATTTGTTCAACTTTCCAAGCTGTTTGGCTATCCTGGTTATCAAATATTATACAATCCTCCATACTAGATGGGGTTTTTAAATCCATTTCCTTGATCCCGCACCCTGCCGGTACTTTAATACCAAAATCCGAAGCCGACTAACGGCAATATGTCTAACCTGACAGATAGTAAATGTTACATAGAAAAGAGCATTTGACGCCCATTGCCCCTCATGCCAACGCTCGTACCATTCCAGGTTGGTCCTCGTTCTAAATGTGGGACCGTCCGAGCGTCGCCTTGAACTCGTTTCGACCCCGCCTGCGCCACCGTCATTATCTCAACATTGCTGGAGCTCTGTGACAGTGATTCGGCCATGCGAAAGTCAATATACGGCAAGGTTGCCGTGCCTGAGCTAAGGAGCGTTTTGGTGCTTTCGAGCATCCGTTTCGAGCACCCACCGTGACTTCTAGTGGACACGTTTGTGGATAAGCTCTGAAGCAGAAGTCGGTGTTTTTTTTGTGTGTGAATATTTATGAATTGATGGGAAGAAAGGCCGTGGCCAAGGAAGAAAAGGGGTATCCAGAGAGTGAGGGTAATAACTGTTTTGGTGTCGAAAATGATGCGTCGGTGTAGTAGTCATGTAGACCCTAGAGTGAGTGATGCGATCCGACGAGGCGGTGTGGAGGATAGTGGCCGTTGACATTGGCCGTAGTTAGTCTCCCTGTATAACCCGAGCCTTTTCCTCCCATCACATCCGGCTGCTGCTTAGAACACGAGGTTTACGCCGTCTTCCGGATGTTCGTAGTAGGATCCGCCCAGTTGTCTGATTAAACGGCAACGTTCCTCCATGTTGTAAGTGTTGTTGATTCTGCCGATACCTCTCGACGACGCGTCTCCGTGTGTTGTTCTCAGAACCCAGACACCACCACCTGCGGGCCAGCCAACGTAGACGACCGGTTGATTGTATCTATCTGGACTCATGAAATTCCTCCTGTAGGCATCTTCGCTCTCCCACCAGGTGGCTCCGAGCTTGCGCATATTACCGCAATGGATATCTTCCTCTGCCTGATCCAGAGATCTCATGGCGATGTGGAATCGGTCTAGATTTAAGAAATCAAGTTCGACAGCTGTGCAATGGAGCACGTAGATTCCCCCATAGCTGGGGTATCCGCGCACAGCAGCGCCAGGTCCTACTCCGAATTGTGTTCGGAATTGAGGTTTGTCAAATACCATGAGGTAGTCATCTTCTTCTCCAGAGTCATAGATGGGATTTCGCGACTGCGCGTCTGCAGCGAAATCCTCGTCTGCGGAATCATAATCGTCAAAGCCTCGCGATCGAGAGCTTGACATAAAATCACGGGTCAGGCCATGAGCTCTTGAGCGACGGGCTCTGAAGGAAAATAGATAGCTTCCAGACAAAGCTGCAAGAAAAAATATGGCGGGTGTTATGAGGGACATAATGCCCGGAGTAGGTTGTGTTCGGACTGTTGGAGACATCTTGGCTTGGAGGTCTGCACACCTACCTATAGGTACTCCCGGCTCCGGTAGATAAGCCCTAATAAATTCACATGGATGCAATATGGAATGCAATATGGATGCGATATAGATGCACTATGGACGCACTACGTGGTTATGCCCACGTCATCTAGCGGGCTACCTACTGTAAGTGACTTGGGCTCTGACGCTTTGCCCAGGTGTGTTATGTGTGTTATGTGTTACGTGTTATGCCACTATTTGCATAAAGAGCATTGAATAAATTGATTGGAAGGGCAAAAAAGGAAAAAGGGAAAAATGCCATTCTTCACTTGTTGTTAGGCATTGTTTGGCACCACATCCGAATTTCATCTCTCTAACGTAGGGCTGATAGGTAACCGAATAAACACCAAGGATATCATGGTAGCCAATCAAATAGCCGCTCGCCCTTCGGCATAACTAACTTGCATATACGTGGCCACGAACAAAAAAACTGTGCCACTTTTACTGTGCTTCTTATTGACCGCCTCAACTCCTCCCGCACAGCCATCGCGAGTCACGCAGGTACAAATCCTTACCCATGGCGAAAGGAAGCTATGACTTCATCAAGAAACGCCTTGTGGCCTTTTTACTGGTTGCCTCGTTGGAAGAAGGTAATCCAATGGCCCTTTGACGCCCAACACAAGAATAAGGTCCCGTGAGCCTTAAACGTCTGGCCGCCAATGTTTACATTGATAGAGCACTGTTCCCACTTATAGCTCGGCTATACATTGCATGCCAAGCATTCCGTTCATGTCTTCTATCCACGTCAATACGACCTAACTCTTTCGAATTGTTTACAGGGGCTGATCGCTCAAAATTGACGAATGCTGGCGGGTATTTCGCCTTAACTAGCGGAAAACTGAGGCCGTGGAAGAACATGTGAGACTCACTCCAGAATCAATTGCGAATAGGTAGTGGGACATTATGCCATTGGCTCCGAGAGAAGAGCATAACCGCCATCTCTCTAACAGTTTTGAAGCTCATGAAGCTTATGACTTAATAGCCATTATTGCAGATATTATAGGACCCCTAACATTTCATAAGCTCAATGTAAAGAGTAAAAGTATCTAAAAATAACTGCGGCTTCAATTGATGCAGGGGGATATTTCCAGGACATTGGTAGCTACAGTAGGCCTTTACCTTTAGCATGTGTTCATACATTCGAAGCTTTACACGTGAAGAGAGAAGGAAACGTGATTAGACAATTGCTAAAGAAATGAGGCAGCCCATACTAAAATGCAGTTTCTCATTGGTATCCAAATTTCAGCTCGATCATAATCGCCTTCATCCGAAACTCACAGATGACCATCTTGAAGCATGGCATTTGACTCACTCGCGTGTCAGTGCGGTCCCAACCATCTGGCTAGTCAGGAACAGTATCCAAGCGCCCTGATCCTCTACGAGATGCGTGCATAATTGGTTAAGGTGAGGTCCATTGGCTGCCTCCCATGCCCTCGGACCCGTTGTGTAACTGACGATGATGGGTTAGGCTGCATCGATATAGACTTGGTCCTTATTCGAGAGTCTTAGTAAACTCCACATAACGGGACGGCAGAGAAATGAATAAAATGCTTGAACTACAGGTAGGCTCCACTTACTGATATAAGACTATCGAAAACTTAGTGAGCTTTCTTGAGTTACTGGGGTCATACCTGACTGGGGCGTAGTTGATATTTACGTATACCTCTATAACCTATCTACAGACAGAGTCAAAACAGGTAAGTTGTCTATCAAAGTAGAGTATAGTCGGGAAGGTTTTGAAGGTGAAGACCTGGTAACTAACCCACTATAGGGTAGTGGAGTTTTGGGATAATAAGAAGGCCACCTATAGTTCCTTAGGTATCTTAAGTAGGCACCTACTTATATATAGAAATAGTACGTTGCTCAATCAATATTATAGTCTTATTATTAGCATAAGTTACTTATACTATAGACCATGTATACTAAAACTGGAGGTATAAGTGGGTGGTTTATAGATATCGGGGTTAACCCTGGACCCAGAATACCAGTACCCGTCCTATCAGCTACGTACATCCAAGGTTGGCTCCGCATAGATAAAGATGGGATTGTTCTAGAATTTATAATATTGCGGCTCATTGTCTTTACTAAACCAGCTCCACCCTACATAGCAAATAAAATAGCATCCTTGGGCCCGACTGCATAGAAAAATTACCCATTACCCATTATAACTGTAGTGAGACCATCTCGTTACTATAACACTTCTATACTTTTCTACTACGCATATCCAACTTGGCTGTTAACGTTGTACTCCTCGAGGACTAGCCGTCCAATATCACAGATACGTTGTGCCGCAGAAGTATTCACAAAATTTCTAACGCTATTGAATTAATATGCTATCTACCTACACTATGGTTCATTTGATACTGGTGTTTAAGTATGGGCTATTTTGGGATGACTTATCCATAATCACAGGCTTTTCGCTCGTGACATCCTGAAACCGCGGACAAAGCGTCGTTGGATGTACGACGTAGAGCATGGTGATGGCTTTGCCATTGGTCGCAGAGATGAGCAGTGGTCGCCGTTGGTATTATAACTTCCTGCTGGTACTGACTGTGATGGGGGATACTTAGTGCTAGGTGTGAGTGACAGTGCTGTCACATGTATACTGAGGTTCGGTTTCTGTGTGATCTCCTATGTGACGAGAGCGACCCACGTAGCTGGCGGGATCGGATGTGAGATAAGGAAACACAGACTCCGAACAACGAGCTTGAGTCCTGGCGAAATGCTAGAGTGGTGGTAAAACAAACGACACCTAGCAACTTGAGTTAACCCGGGAAACATCGAGATAGTCTAGTCGACACACCCAACACTTTGGGGCAGTTCAATCCTTCGATCATCACTTTGGAGTTTTCATTTTCATAAGCGCAAGGTATCTGAACATAAGTCTTTGGGTAAAGAATCTTAGGCCGGGCCTCAACGGAGTTGACTACCTACCCCACTAGGTTCCAGATCTATGGATATTACTGCACCGGCGAAAAGCACTAATGAAGAGTTGGACCATGGCCTTGGTATCGGTCCTGGAGCTAACACTGACAGAGATCGTCGCCAGCATATGGAAATTACGCGCAGGGAGTTCAAAAGGCCCACGATACGATCGCCCCACGACCCATCACCGCCAACGCGTGGTTTTGTGCATATGACCATACGCTAGGGCGAATGACAGCACAATTACGGGGCAATTCTTCAGTAGAAAAATACTAAATCATGTATCCACAAACCCAGGCCTTTATCCGTGATCACTACATTATAATTCCAGCCATATTCCATACTCGTAATATCACCCCATCTCTTTTCAAACTTACAGCCGTAGATATGAGGTTGCTGATAAAGACCATACTTCAGCAGGCCGCGTTTCACGGGGTTGATCTTTAGAAAATAGTCCGGCTCCTGAATGAATTTTGGTATGCCAGGTTTCCGATCCGTAAGCGGTTATGGTTGTTGCGAGCCACCGCAACCCTTGTCCGATAAGAGCAAATAGCTCATAGTTGAGCTTCTTGCTTCTAAGCGCAGACAGCATGCGCTTAATCCGACGGAAGTTCTCTGTAGCCCCGTCGGTAAGGGTCGCGTCTCCAGGAACCATATTCTTAATAGTTTTTATTCTATTACATTATTTATGTCTGACAGTACCTAAGACAGCATAGCTTAACGTACCTCCCATAGAATCATATCACTAACCACCACTAATTACGAGATGTCTGTCTATCCCAAGTCGGGATCTAGGATATGGCTTATGGTGTTATAATTCCGGTGAAAAGGTATAAAACGTAGTTAAGTATTATGCCCCAACAGTATCTCACGTAGCGTCTTCTATAATGGATCTAAGCTCCGGTGGTGGTTTATCGTCACGATCGGTCCTCGGCGTCCGCACGAACAATGCCAGGATTAACATCATAATACATGATATTGATACTCCAAGGTATGGTAAACCAATCCAAACCCCACCTAATCGCATACCCAGCGTAAAAAGGCCAGCCAGGGCAGGCGTTGCCCATATATTGCTTCCTACATCCAAGAGCGCCATAATGCTAAACAGCCTAGACCGATGTTCAATGTCGACATGCGAGGTCGCGATACTTTTGATGAAGCTCGCTGATCCGGAACCAAGAGACATGACAACGAGGCCGGTTATGAACACAGGTAATGTCGGTGATACGCCAAGGATGAAACTACCTATAGCGTAAACCACGTAAGACCACCGTGCTAGTATTAGGTCGCGGTCTTTCTCATTTGCTACACGGAAGAATTTCGGTGTTGTTGGTTGAACGACTAATTTGGATAAGCCTGGAACGATCAATAGAACCACGACTATGTGAGCGATCCCAAAGACGGATTGAATATAACCAGTTTTGGCTATTGGGATATGATAATGTTTCGAAATATACTGGACCATGAACTGGAGTGTACACATCACGACAGGCATCGACAAGAGGCATATGCAAAGAATGAGAATAACAGAACCTGCTCGAATGATAGACAAAGAGTCTTTCAACTGGTTGAAGCCTCGTAATGCACGGGTTTTGAATGTTAGTGTAGACCCGGTGACATCTGAGCGCATGGGCTGGCGGAATGTTTCTGGGATAATCGCAATTAGAGCAGCGGCTAGGGCCCATAGTATGATGGTGAGCCACATAACGGGCCAAGGACCTGTTGTGGACATCATAGCAGATGCTAATGCCGGTGAGACTAAGTTGCCCGCCAGGCTTGCAACATGAATCCTCATGAATGCAATCGACCTATGAGTCGTAAGTAAAACTTCTCAACGTTGGAAGCTGGTTCATTGGATTGCTGACTTACCTACTGGATTCGGGAATTATGTCGCTCACCATGCTGTACGTGCAAGCGCCAATAACTGATGGACCTCCAGCGAGATGCGCTACAGATGATATCCAAATCCATCGAACCGGGAACTTGTCTGGAAACCAGCCCACAATCATGATCAACAGCACGTGGAAAATCATGCCTATCGTAGCGGTAGCATATACCGGTTTGCGGCCGATGCGATCAGCCAGGATCCCCCAAAGAAGGGCAACAAGACAACCGATGCCAGAGTTAAGAGCCTCTAAAAATGCAAACAGATATGCTAACTCGGACTGTATAACATCCTTCTTGCAGAGCACCTCATCAATCGGTTCGCCCGAGGTTGGTGACTGGCCGTAATATTCGTGGCAGAGAATGTCTTCATATATCCTCGTCATAGGAATCTGCTGGAAGCCACCGGAGAGAGAACCGACGAGGACGATCGAGTAGCAGAGGCTTAAGATGATTTTAGGATTGTACATCCATGATACGGTATTTTCGGCGCTGGAGATAGA